GAACACCTCATTCCCTAGCCCAGCCCCCCCGCCTACTTACAGAGTATGTAGTGCTCATTGGGTGATTTTAGATGATCTTACTCAGCTGAGTGCTATGAGGACAGGGCTTAATACCCCCATTTTGAAAATGAGTTTAGGACCAGCATATCTCCCTAAAGTCATACGACTTTGGAAATCGCAGGGTGTGGTTGAACCTCCAACTCCAAAGCATCTTCTTAAACACTGAGACTCACTTCTGCCAAATCTCTTGTGATGACACCAGCCCAGCATGATTCTGATCACAGCCTAGGGTGCTGGTTGAAGAGCGCCTAGCCAGTCAGTCAGGGAGCCAGGACTTAAAACCCCATGTATCTTGGATGTTGCAGTTTTCTTTTTCCTTTTGGTTAATTGCAAGAGAATTACATGTTCATTGTTAAAAACAATTTATTGAGTAGAAAACGAACGTGGACTTTATGCTCTTTCCACCTTCTGGGGGTGGGTTCACTATTAGGCTTCCAGATCCTTCCTCCATATACAAGCTTGTATCTGTCTTTTTATCTATCTGCCCATCTAAGCACAGATGTCCTTATCAATTCATCCATTTATTGAGCAGTGCACTGAGCTCCCCCATGTGCCAAACCTTTCTAGAATTAGGATGCAAGGGTTACAGGAAGCAGACATAGTTGCCACTCAAGGAGGTTCCAGTGTGACAGGCAAGGGTGCAGTGAATAGCAGGCACTTCCTTCAATTGGCAGATCTTTGTCCTGGCGTTTCTGTCAAGGACACCTTCAGGGTAAAGAGGTAATGAATCATGTCATCTCAGAAGGGACTAAGGTAGCAAAAAAAAAAAAGCCGAAACAAAACAAAACAAAACAAAACCAACCCCTTGTAAGATAGGAAAGAGAGTCTTGCAATGTAGGAGCTGTAAGCAGCTCACTGAGATTAGGAACACATGGGAGGGAGTGAACATGGGGAGGTGGGCTGGGCAAGGTCAGACCAGACAGGGCCCTGTGGGAGCTGAGTTCTTATCCCATTAAGCAACCCTGGTGCTATGGAAGGTACTGACTAGATGTAGTGCATGTCTGTGTGTGTGTGTGTGTGTGTTCGTGTGGGTCCAAGTGTATGTGTGCCTGTTGTGTATGCACATGCATGTGTGTGCACGTGCACATGGAGGCCAGAAGTCAATCTTGTGTGTCTTCCTCAGTTGTTCTCCACGTTTTTTTTTTTTTTGTCTTTTTGAGACAGGGTCTCCCTGTAGCCTCAGCTGACCTGAACTCACTATGTAGACCAGGCTGGCCTTGAACTCACAGAGATCCGCCTGCCTCTGCCTCCTGAGTGCTGGGACTAAAGGCATGCGCCACCATGCCAGGCTTCTCCACCTTGTTTTTCAAGTATTTTATTATAATTTTTATTTTCAAAATTTATGTGTATGAGTGTATTACTTGCGTGTGTGTAAATGCACCAGTGTCAGCAAGTGCCCACAAAGGTCAGAAGAGGTCTTTGGATTCCCCTGGAACTGGAGTTACAGACAGTTAGCTGCTATGTGGGTGCTAGAAATGGAACCCAGGACCTCTGCAAGAGCATCCTGTGCCCTTAACCACTGAGCCATCTCTCCAGTCCCTTCACCTTGTTTTTCTGAGATAGGACCTCTCGCTGAACCTAGAGCTCACTGATTCAGTGAGGCAGGCTGTTTGGCCAAGGGATCCACCTGTCTCCACCCTTCCAGTGCTGGGTTTACAGGACATGCCACTACACCCTGCTTTTTATGTGGGTGTTGGGGATTGCAACTCAGGTCCTCATGCTTCTTGGCAAGCACTTTACCCACTGAGCCATCTCTCCAGTCCCTGGGTCAGTTCTTTGGATTGTTGATAGCTGACCCAGACCATGTCCTTCCTAGCAACCTCAGCAAGAAAGTGTTTACTAAGGGCTCCTGCAGAAAAGCTGAGGGAAGACTTTTATTGGATGCGGCTTGGCTCACTGCCCATCCCTCTACCAATCACGGGGGGAGTTTGTAAGGGTTCCTTTCCCTGAATCAGATCTGGTCAAAGCCCAGGCCTGAGGCTGGACCACAGCCTCCAAATATCATGTGGGCTGCATTCCCTACAGGGAGGTGGATCCCTGGTATCAGAAGAAAAGCACTTTAGGGATCATAGAGAAACAACTGCATGTGGAAACTAGCTCATCAGACAGGGTGTGTGTGCTTGGTATATGTTTTGCTTCATTGTCAAGGAGGGAAAGCTCAGATATTCAGGAAGTACTGAGCTGCAGGCTCAGTGAGGAGATGGTGGTCAGTTTTAATTGCATCTGGCCCCTGGAATTGCCTGTCACCATCTTAAGTGAACTTGGAGTTAAATCTCTGAGAAGCTGTCCGGATATTTCATGACAGCCTGGGGTGGAACATGGGGAGAGGGGGTGGAGGTGTGGGCCACGGCATTCCAGCTCCCCACTGCACAGAACCAACCCAGAATCCTTAAGTGACCCTGACTACTTCCCTTGCCTCATCTTCCCACAGCCTCTCCCAGAGTGCTGTCTTCCCAGAATATGCTGTGACGTTTACTCCTTCACTCCTCCATCACTTTCCCTGACACCTCCTCTCCCAGAAGGTGGAATGTCCCTTGTCTGAGCAGTCCTTACTAAGCCTCCCCTAAGCCTGCCAGTGAATTGCTAATCCCACTATGCTCATATTACCTGTATATACCTGTACCAAAGGACTCAGACTATGCTTTGATTACATATTTGTTTCCCAAGCCTTTCCCCTTTATTTATTATGAAAATAGAGTATTTTAAGGACTGGGTAGATGGTGCAGTAAAGTTGCAGGGACTTGGGTTTTGGTCCCCTTATAAAAGTTAGGTGTAGGGATACATACCTATAACCCCAGCCCTGGGGGACAGGGAGAAGGAGATACCAGGGGCTTACTGGCCAGCTAGTCTAGCCAGTTGGTGAGCTTCAGGTTTGAGAGACTCTGTTTCAAAAAATGAGGTTGAGGGGCTGAAGAGATGGCTCAGCAGTTAAGGAGTTGGAAGCACTTACTGTTCTTCTAAAGGACTAAAGTTTGATTCCTAGCACCCATATGGGTGGCTCATGACTGCCTATAACTCCAGCTCCAGGGGATTTGATATCCCCTTCTGGCCTTTGTGGGTACCTACATACATGTGTGTATACACATACACATATACATAAATTTTTTTAAAATCTAAAAAAAAAAAAGGTGACTAGGTGGTTGAGAAAGACATATAATGCCAACTTCTATGTGCACATACACCACACACACACAAAAGAAAAGACAAAAAATGGCATTATAAATATGCCACTTACCAGCTGTGTAACCTTGAACATGTTATTAAACTTATCTATTACTGAATTTTCCTTGTCTGTGAAATGATATAGTTGATAGCACCTGCTTCATACAGTTGTTGGCAGGCTTTGAGCAGTTTATATGCACAGAAACCCTTAACACAGAGCCTGGTGCATAACGAAGGTTCAACAGTGCTGGTTGTTTTTATTACTATTTGATAGAAACAAAAAATATGGACAGATATTTTATTTATTTTTATTTTATGTGTATGAGTGTTTGGCCTACATGTATGTAAATGCAGCTGTGTCATGCAATGCCCAGGGAGATCAGAATAGGGTGTCAGATCTCCTGTAACTGGAGTTACAGACAGTTGTCAGCCACCATGTGGGTGCCAGGAACCAAACCTGGGTCCTCTGCAAGAACAACCAGTGCTTTTAACTACTGCGTTTGATTGGTGTCCACTAGAAGCAACCAAACATCTTGTGGCAGCTTTGGGGAGAATATAGATAGAAGGACACGCACCACTCCAAAGGAAGGATCTAGGGCAGACAGTGGTAGGAAAATCCTCCATAAACACTTCCTTGTGCTGATCCAAAGATCTGTTTCCCAGGTTGGTCCACATCAGGCTTCATGCAGTCCATATGACCACACAGAACAAACATGCCCCTTCCTCACGCTATATTCTTGTCCTGTCCCTGAGAACTTTGATGACCTATGACCCAAAGCAGGGAGAAGAGATCAAGTTCATTTTTAAAAAAGATTTTGGGTCTTTTTTTTTTTTTTAAATACAGCGGCTTGGAACTCATTATGTAGACCAAGTTGGCCTCAGTCTCACAGAGATCTGCCTGCCTCTGCTTCTGCCTCCTGAGTGCTGGGATTAAAGACATGCACCACTATGCTCAGCAAAGATTTATTATTTTTATTTTATGTGTATGAATATTTTGCCTGCATGAATCTTAAGTGTACCATTGTGTGCAGTGTCTGTGGAGGCCAGATCTCCTGGAACTTGGGTTTCAGAAAATTGTGAGCCACTATGTGGGTGCTGGGAATTGAGCTCCATTCCTCTGAAAGAGCAGCAAGTGCTCTTAACTGCTAAGTCACCTTTCCAGTCCTGGTGTTTATTGTTTTGTTTTTGTTTTCCACTCACTCAAATATCAGTGACCCTGTATGTACCAGGAACTATCAGAACAGTCCTTTAAAAGATCATGGCAGTCTGGAGAGATGGCTCAGCAGTTAAGAACACTGGTTGTTCTTGTAGAAGACCTGGGTTCGAATTCCAGCACCTACATGGCAGCTAACAACTGTCTATAACTCCAGTTCCAGGGGATCCAACAGCCTCTTCTGTCCTCCACAGGTATTGCACAACACGGGTGCACTTACCTACATGCAGGCAATACACACATACACATAAAATAAAAATAATAAATAAAATAGTTAAAAAAATAAAAGATCATGGCATAACTACACACACTGTGATATATTTAATGCCATTGAATCATATGTTTAGGCAGGGTTAAAATGGTGAACTTTGAGGCTGGAGAAATGACTCAGTGGTTAAGAGCACATAATTGCTTTTGCAGAGGACCTGAGTTTGGTCCCAGCACCAAATGTTGGGTTCACAACAGTCTGCAACTCTGGCTCCAGGAAATCTGTCACCCTCCTCTGGCCACTGCTGGTACCTGCAATCATGTGCATTAGTGGACATAATTTAAAAACAAAACAAATCTTTAAAAACTGGCAAACTGCATGCTATGGACTACACAACCACTTTGAATAAAGAAGTCATGGATGTTGGAGGATGTACTCAGCTAGACCCAGTGAACTGTCAGAGCAACATGGGAAACCTCCTATAAGCTCCACCCCTTCCCAGACTCATCAGAAGAACACAGCAAGACACAGGAAGGTGACAGTGAGTTCAAAGGACTTGTGGTTGTTGACCACACATTTGATAATCTGTTATTTTGGTGAATTATGTGATACAGCTCCCAGTGGTGATCTTGTCAAGGAAAAACAAATACTTGCAGCACCATGAGGAGAAGGCATGCTTGTTCTGTGTGGTCCTAGGTACTTCATGAGGCTGTCTTGAGAGATAGATTTTGGCTCAGCATAAGGAAGTACTTTCCACCAATGAGAGCTGCCCCAAAGCAAGTGGATTGCCTGCTGAGGTAGTTGGTTCCCATTTCTGGAGAAAGCAAACAGGTTGTGAAGGTGTCAGGAAGAGGTCCCTTGTTCTGATGCCTGACATCTGCTTCTGCAGTTGGTCCACAACTTGCTCTGGGACCTTTTCTGTTGGTCTTTTTCTCACCCCCACCCCCTCCCAGATTTCAGCTTTGGCCTCTGTGGTCACTAGTATGTAGATGACTTCCTCTATCCCTCACTGGAGCTCAAGCTCCTGTCCAGGGCTCCCTCCACTAGACAGTTTGGTATGCATGATCCTGGCCTAATCTCAGTAGGATATGTCTTCCCCTTAAGTGTGCTTCATTCCCTCACCTCTCCATCCTTTCTGCCCACATTCTCCCATTTGTCTCAGCTTGCCTTTTTTCCATCCATACAATCCCTGGGTCACTTTCATCTTTGAAACATCTCCTACCATCCCTTAATGATTGTTGAGACTGTCTCCAGTTCAGATTTTGAGAAACCTATTTTAGATGTGGTTTCTTTTGTTGCTCTGAGCAGTAGCAATTTTCCTAGGGTAGAGAGAGGGGGAAGAACAGGGAGTGATGGGTCCCTAAATTAGTTCGTTCAGATGCCATAAGAAAGACCAAAATAACAGTGACTTATGCTAGAACAGATGCTTATTTCTCACCCATGTGACCAACTGGGTATATCCAGGACTGAAGCCACAGCCCTTAGGGACTCTCTGTCTTGTCTGTGATATGCAGGGTCTCACCTTTGACACAGTGGTACTGGGGGACTTGCCACATCTGTGTTCCAGGCATGGGAAGGGGGAAGATAAAAAAGGGTGTGATCCCCATCTTTAATGGCATGACCTAGAAACTGTGTATGACAGTTCCTCTGAAATCTTATTAGTGAGAAAATGATCTTGTAGCCACACTCAGCTGTAAGGAAGCCTGGGATTTGTAGTTTTTAGCTGAGTGGTCTTGTGCCTAACAGTTCTACAGAAGGGGAGAACAGGTGAAAGGAAATAACTGGTGGTTTCCAGTCACATTGCTATATGCATTTCCGTGTGACTCACATGGTAGCTAGTGTAGGCTTAAAATACTGAAGATACCCCATTAAAAATGGTAACACCAAGCTCAGAAAAGGGAAGTTGGGCTGGCAAGAACGCTCAGTGGGTAAAGGCATCTGCCTCCAAGTCTGACAATCTGAATTTGATTCCCGGGGGTTTACATGGAAGGAGAGAACTGATCCACGAGAGGGTTGTCCTCTGACCCTCCACACATGCGATACAGCATGCATGGGAAAACACATACATACAACTTGTAAATAATTTTTAAAAAAGAAAGTTGGGGACCTTATTAAGACTGCACAGGGAAGTGTCAGACCTGGGAGCAAAACCCCAAACCTTGGGCTCATTTTCTGCCATTGTATATGTATGTGTGTGTTTATGTGTATGCAGATTTTTGTGAATGTGTGTGTATAAGTGGTGGAAGCCAGAAGACAAGAAGTTTGGCTGTTGTTACTCAACCATTATCTACCTTGTTTTGTTTTTTTCTTTTTGTTTTTTTTTTTTTTTTTTTTTTTTTTTTTTTTTTTTTGAGACAGGGTCTCTCTGGCTTGCAACTTGCCTATTAGGCTAGGCTGGCTGGCCAGCAAGCCCCAGAAATCTGCCTGTCACCACCTCCCCAGCACTGGGATTATAAGCATGCACCACCATGCTTGTTTTTGCCCCTTGGGTTCTGGGGATCAAACACAGTTCCTTGTGCTTGCAAGGCTCTGGTCCTCTTTTTCTGCCATTTCAAGGGGATATGGTTGTGAGGCAGGCACAGGTCTCACGTTTCCCAGCCTTACTTGGGAGCCACTTAAGGAGGCTATCACAGCTTTTGATGCCACCAAGCAGCCCTCAAAGTATCTTAAAGTGGACCCTCCTGAGTGGCATGTCCACCTTCCCTATTGGGATCTGCTCTTGAGAACACACACACACACACACACACACACACACACACACACACACACTGCTTAGTCATCTCTGTCCTCATAGCCTCCCCAGAAAGCATTCCATGCATTGCTAAAGGAATTACCCAATACACAAATGAATCTACCATATTCAAGGACACCTTCACTTTCAGGTAATAGAAACTCAGCTGAAACTGGCATAAGGGAAAAAAAGAACAAGAGCCATCCAGGCTTTCATCTTGCTTCTGATGTAGCTGAATCCAGGAGCTCAGCTGCTATTTTAAAAAAATTATTCTTTATTTTATATGTATTGCCTGCAGGTACATAAGTGCACCCATGTCATGTAATGCCCACAGAGGTCAGCAGAGGGCATTGGAATTCTCCTGGAACTGGAGTTATGGATGGTTGTTAGCTGCCATGTGGGTGCTGGGAATCAAACCTGCTCTGTGTCTCTCTCACTTTTGTCCTGTTAGTGGGAAGTGTTGCCCAGGGAACCTCTGCAGAGGCTGGGAGGTGTGGGAGTTAAGAGATTATGGGGTGGCTGGAGAGATGGCTCAGCAGCAGAGAGCACTTGCTGCTCTTCCACAGGACTTGAGTTTGGTTCCCAGTAGTTAAACTGCCTATAACTCCATCTGCAGAAGATCAGACACCCTCTTCTAGACTTTGTGGGTACCTGCATTCACACATGTGTAAACCCACATGTAGTCATATACATATACACATAACTAAAAATACAGTAAATCTTTTTTAAAAGAGGGGGACTATGAGTGATGCCAGTGGTCATGGTGGGGTAGAATCCTTATTGGATAGTCCAGGGCATCTTGGCCCAGACCCCATTGGCAGGCAGGCTTGGTGTTTTGACCATTTGGGGATGAGTGTTGGGTGATGTCTTTGGAGTGTCCCTCTGGCCTTCCTTATAGGGTTGGATGCACTCACAACAGCTTCGGGTTGAGGGTGGCTGGCCCTTCCCTCCAGCCTCTCTGCAGAAGGACAGGGTGCTGTGTGATCTTTCCTGGTTGGGTTCAATGGAGTTCCCACATGTGACGGAGACTAGGATGGCAGTGGGGGAATAGACCGAGCTGGAGACATACTAAGTGGGTAGTATGTGCTGATTCCAGGGCAACTCCCTCCTGGAGAGGCAAATTCCTTTGTGGGAAGGTAGTTGGGGCAGTGTGTGTCTCCAGTGTCTCTGTATTCACCTATCAAGATGGACAGCAGCTGGTTTCTGTTCTCAGGCCACCCTGAGTTTCTCCATCCTGCCTTGGGTGCCTGGAACCAGCTGTTGGGGTAGGAATTGTGGTAGTGTGGAATTCTCTGTGGTTTTGAGTTGGCAGGCAGCTTTTTTCTAGGCTGGGCTGTAAGGATGGGCTTCCTGGGTCCAGAGTGGAGAAAGGGAATCAAAGGGAACAAGCCTAGTGCCTCCTCTGGAAACCTCTTACCCTCTGGAGGAAGAAATGGCTCTGCTCTGGGGACAGCCCTAATTGGTCTGATCAGAAGAGACATTCCCTACTCCCAAGAAATGAAGCAGACATTTACAAATGGCCCCTGGGGCAAACCCCAGCAGCAGCAGCAGCAGCAGGAAGTAGCTTGGAGTATTGGGAGGCATCCTAAGAACAGCCTTGAGTAACAGGCAGAGGTAGGTAGGTCTTCAGTAATGACTGGGGACAGGGGAGGACATGAGTAGATCCCTGTCTTAGGTCTTAAAGGAAGGCACCTGAGAGAATGAGTTTGGTGGGGAGAAAGTAGAACTTGTGGGGTCAGTGAAGGCCTTGTCACTGAAGAGGCCCAGGTAGGCTTAGATAGATTGGCACAAACAACAGTGGGGAAGGGTGAAAGATGTGGAGACCAGGAAGCACAAACAGGCTTTAGTTTTTTGTTCTTTTTTTTTTTTTTTTTAAGATAGGGCCTCCTATAGCCAAGGCTGGCCTTGAACTCTGTGCAGCTAAGGATGGCCTTGAACTCCTGATCCTCCTGCCTGTACCTTTGAGTGCTGAGATTACAGATATGTGCCACCACACCTGGTTTATGCAGTGGTGGGGGTCGAACTCCCAGCTTCATGCATGCTGGACAAGCTATATCCTCAGGTTTTGGTTCTGTCTGGGGGTGAATGGATGGAAGGCAGAACCTAGAAGCTCCTTCTTTGACTGGGTCCTTCCTGCAGAGTAAGGCCAGAAATCCAGGCAGCTGCCTGCTAGGTTTTCCTGCAGGCCATAGGTGGCCCTTGTCAGGCAGGAAGTGGTATCCTCAAGGGTACCAATATGAATTGGAACTGCTGACTCAGCACATAGGCTGGTGACTTTGAGGCTGTTAGACTTTGAACCGGAAGCATCTGGAAAGGAAGTGGCTCCCCAGGGCTTCCCCACAATGGACTGTGGACAACTGGGAAGGGGACAGCTGGCCAGGATGCAGGGTTTGGCTGAGGGACTCCCTCTGTGTAGCTGTCTGGCTCAGGGAAGTGGGGAAGAGGTTTGGAGTGGGTGGAAAGAGCTATGCTAGGTAGCTGGGGCTAGAATGCATGCTTTGGCTGTGGGCGGAATTTCTCTGTGAGGTCCGGAAAGGGGTAACTATAGGACTCTTCACAACTCTGCCCACTGGCAAATGATAGGATATTATGAAACTCACAGCTTGGTGTGGTGGCACACACTTTTAGTCCCAGCACTTGTAAGGCAGAGGCAGGCAGTTTGTGAGTTCAAGACCAGCCTGATCCATATAGCAAGTTCCAGGCCAATTAGGGTTTCATAGTAAGGCCCTGTATCAAAACAAAACAAAACAAAACAAAACAAAACAAAAAAACTTGCTTATCTGGGCCTTATTTATTTCTGAAGGTGATCAAGGATGTGGAAATGTTCATATTCTTGCTAATCATTATTCAGTGGGACAGATGAACATGGGTCATGTGGCTTGAGTGGGCAGCAGTACTGGGTGTGTGCAGCCTGCCTGAGTTGGGCACCTAAGGGAGGTCCAACTGGAAGCAGGGAAGAACTCAGGGAAGCCAGGGACCCCCCTAGCCCCAGGCCTGACCTGTCATCTCAGATCTGACTGTTGCACAGGTCTGACTCCAGCCTTAGAAGTTAGCCCTGCTCCTGGCCTCTCCCATTTTTGCTGGGTCTTGCTCACTCCATGTACATGTGTTAAATTAACAATGCCATTCCCAAGCCCCACATCTATGCTGCCAGCTGCCTCTAGAACTCTCTCCTGGAGTTTTCTGCACATTTGCCCCTAACCTCACATGCCCTACACTGAATATTCTGTGTTCTCTGCCCCAGTAATGGAGTTTAGAACCAACCTGACTGCTGCCTTCCTCGCTCCCTACATCCTTACTGTCACTTTTACCCGTACCTGCTTTGTCACTTGGCCAGCTCTGTCTCATTTATCCCTCAGAAGCTATCAAAGTAGTACAACAGTGCTGCTTCCCTGTTCCAGAACCCTCAGTGGCCCTCAGCTACGTTTAGGGTAGAGTATACAATTCCATCTGATCCCTGGGTCTGCCTGCAGCCTGAACTTTTGCTTTCCCATCAGCCAGAGTGACCCAGGCATAGTCTTGACCTTGAATTCACCAGCCTTGCCTTGCTTGATGTCTGGCCTCCTCCTTCGTAGATTTGGATACTCACATGGTAGGGCAGAAAAGCTGGCCACCAGTTAGCCTCGACCCACCTTGGTGCATTCTCTCCACTGCCTGACTCTCATAGAGATTCCTTCTGTAGGGAGTTCCATGGGCATGGGCAAGAAGACCTCCAAGTGAGCAGTTGTAGCCTTGCCCTAGGATGGTCCAGGGGATCTGGGGCTTGGGGGGTGGGGTGGGGGCACCTTTGGAGACAAAGACCTTGCTTCCTTTTCCGCAGGCAGGAGCAGCCATCTGCCACGGAGAGCCCAGCTGTCTGACGCCTCACGGGAAGATGCTGCGTGGATGGGGTGGCCCTGGTGTAGGTGTGCATGTGCACACTGCCCTGGGAGTGCTGTGTTTCTGTCTCACAGGTGAGGGGAGGAGCAGTGGTCATGGTGGTATGTGAGGGTGCCCATTCCCACCTGGGCTTCTGCTAGGCTCAGTCTTAAAAAAAATCACACTTATTTCTTTACATTTCCGGGATCTAGTGTCAACCTCTTGACCTTAGCCTCCTCTTTGCTCATCTGTAAAACAGGACTTGAACGTTGAATACTATGACAATGCAGGTTCCTGAACACACTGTATGCACCCTCCTCGGGACCTTTATACCTACTGTTTCCTCTGCCAAGAACTTCCTGCCCGCAGATGTTGGCGTGACTCTACTCTTTATTTTGTGCAAACTTTTGATCAAGTGACACCAGTCAGCATGCTTTCCTGGCTATGCTGTATACAACAGCACACCGTCCCCCCATCCTTGTCCTGTCCTTCACTTCATTCTTTCCAGTATTTAACATATTGCTTCCTTTTAAAAACATTTTAATTGAATTTTGTGAATTTCATACAATATATCTTGCTCACATCTATGATGCAATCTCTGTACCTAAGACTCACAGAACATAGAACAAGGGATGAAGAGAACACCAATGCATCTTTCAGCTCTCATCAATGAAGCTCCCTCATGCAACAGAGGGCCAGGAAAGTAAAAGGTCACAAATGGCCGAAATATAGAGAAGAAGAGTCTACAGAGTGTGGGTCCTTGGACAGAACTCCTATATTAAAATCCACCCACCCAGGGCTCAGGGACCATTGCAGAAAAGGGGGTGGAAAGACTGTAAGAGCCAGGGAGGAAGTGCATGACCATACGAAGACAGAGTCCTACAGGCTCCTGGGACTCTTTCTACAATTCTGTGCTGAGTTTTTGTCTGCTTGAGTGTGTATAATTGTGGAAATGGATAGCAGGCCCCAATCTTAGTTGAGGAATTATTGGTAGCTGATTACTGCTGGGTGAGGAAGAGCTGATCTTCTTAAATGGAGGAATTCTAGGTGTAGGCTGACTAGACCTCAGTGAATGAACTTGCACTGAGGAACATTTGGAGACACTCCTTTGACATGATAAACCTTAACACAAATGATAGAATGTATGGATTCCAATGGGGGGGATATGGGAAGGGGCCAATGGGGAGGGGGATAGAAAGATGATTAAGATGTCCTGTATGAAATACACAAAAATACAATAATAAATAAAAATAAAATAAAAATAATTTTTTTAAAAAATTATTTCCATCTGCAGCCCTCTTATAAGAAGCCATATGTGTGTGTGTGTGTACCTATAGAGTCAAACTTGTGTCCCCAAATGCCCTTTGATGTGGGTCCATCCACTGGAGCCTGTTCAACCTACCAAGAGTCTTACCCTTAAACAAGATTGATTCCCATCCCAATAGCTATCAGTTGCCAATAGTTTCTCAGGTAGGGCTGGGATTTCTTCCCCGCTTCCCCACTTCTATGCTGGGATTTAGTCTGGCTTGAGCTTACATGGAACTTGTGCATGCTGTCACCATTGCTGTGAGCTCATATGAGTAACTGACCAGCTGTCTGGAAAAACTCTGTTTCCCTGTGGTCATCCACCCCCTCTGGCTCTTACAGCCTTTCCACTCCCTCTTCTGCAATGATCCCTGAGCCTTGGGAGGCACAAGTTTGATATAGGTGTCCAGGGATAAGACTCTGCAGTCTCTTATTCTCTGCATGTTTGCCAGTTGTGGGTCTCTATTAATCACCATCTGCTGCACAAGGAGACTTCTCTGGTGAGATCTAAGAGATGCATTAATCTGTGGGTGTAACAATAAGTCGTTAGGAGTTAGTTTAGTACTATATCTATTTAGCAGAATAGGCTCTCTTGTTGCCTGTTGCCCCTCTGCTCAGAGGACAGGGTCTGCTCTGGGGGCCAGGATGGGTAGTTACTAAGTAGTAGTCAGCGCTCCATAACCCTGATGAATAAATGGAATGACTTCTACACAGTACTTGGCACAGAGTTAATTAGTGGTATTGGTAGTCATCTTTCTCCAGGGAGAAAACAAAGCCAAGTGTCTGGTGCCATCTAGTGGTTACCATAGGTAATACATATCTCTACCCAAGGTTTGATTTCTTTAGAAAGGACTTTTGAGCCTTTAATCCCAGCACTCGGGAGGCAGAGGCAGGCAGATAGATCTCTGTGAGTTCAAGGCCAGCCTGGTCTACATAGTGAGTTCCAGGACAGCTGGAGCTACAGGGAGACCCTGTCTCAAAAAGACCAAAAAAAAAAAAAGAGTTAAAAAAAAGAAAGGACTTTTGAGTGCCCCAGATTTCTCCTGCAAAGGGCACCTTGGTCCAGCAGAAGAGATGAGAACTGGTCTGAGTTTTCATGGGATTAGTGAAAAAGATACAGGGCCAGCTCATGACCTTTAGAGACCACATACTACAAAGAATAGGTATGGAATTCACAGTAAAAACACCATAAAGTAAGTGTAATTTTTCTAACCCTTCCATGAGTGCTGTGTTCACTTAGTTTCATTTCCAAACTGTTGGAGCCTCACGTATTTTGAGTGTGCCTGCCTTCTGTGGTGGTGCTCAGAGCTCTTGCCGAATCACTGTCTCCCAAGCATGGCAGACTCTCTAAACCTACCTAACTTCTCAGGGCTCTGAAGGAGAGATGCAGTGCAGGCAGAGGTGCCTATCAGGGAAGCTGCGGGGAGCCCATGGGATAGCGCATTGGTGCCAACAGAGGAAACTATCCTTTCTCTGGGGGCTCTGGACATGCCGTGGGATCCCCTCAGGATGGAGTCATACTGGGCTTTTGTGATTCACACTCCTGTCTTTTCACCCTTAATCCATCAGCAAACATTGATGATCCTCCTGCCTCCCAAGTGCTGGGATTGAAGGCCTATATCACCATACCCGGCTTTACCATCACTTCTTACAGGGACCACTGAGATTGCCTCCTAAATACTTTCCATCTTTCCTTCTATAGTCTAGTCTCCCTCAGCAGAGGAGCCAGAGTGAATTTCAAGCCTTGATGCCCATCTGATTAGTGCCCTCCTTAACTGCCCATTGCAGGTGGGAAACCCCAGATTCCTTACAGCATCCCTCAAAGCCCAGCCTGGCTCCAGTGGGCCTTCCCATTAGGTTCCCTTCCTGGTGCTCTCATACTGGACCCTGCCCAGGGTCTTTCCACCTGTTTTGCCCTGTACCTGGGACCCATGTACCCTGGTTCCTTGTATCACAGAGTTCCTGTTTCTCTGCCCTATTTAAAAATGCAGATATTCTTTCTTGTATAAAGACTAAATATGTTTATTTAGGAAGAGAAGAAAAGAAAAAGCACCTGGGATCCTCTTTCATCCAGAGGAAAATCACTAAAACATTTGGGTATATATTTTTTTAGGTACCTATTCCCAGTTTATACAAATAATATGTACTTGTGGGAAAATGCAAATGGCCTGGCGGGTGTAAAGATTTTTGAAGAGCTACTGCCTTGCTTTCTAATCCATGATTTCTTTCACTCTCTTTTATAGTATTTCCTCCTTTTTTACTTTTCTTTCTCTTCTTTTTCCTTTTAAGGAATGGGATTGAACAAATGGTGGGCAAGCACGCTATCACTGAGCCTTATCCTCAGCCCTTCTTTTTATTTTTTATTTATTTATGAGTGTTTTGTCTACATGTCATATTTTATTTATGAGTGTTTTGCCTACATGTCTATATGTGCACCTACATGTCTATATGTGCATGTCTATATGGTGCCCATGGAGGCTTAAGAAGATGTTGGATCCCTTGGAACTGAAGCTACAGGCAGTTGTTAGCACTGTCTGGGCCCTGGGAACCAAACCCTGGTCCTTTGCAAAAACAACAAGTGCTTTTAATTGCTGAGCCATCTTTCCTGTTCCTCCTCTTCTGTTCTAATCACAAGCTGATGAACATTTGTGTACTATGTTGTCCCTCTCTCCCATTACAATGTAAGTAAGCCCTAGGGTGTGACCTTGGTCTTAGTCCCTTTTGCATTCCTAATTCATGCTTGGCACATAGATACTCACAATAAGGAGACTAGGTAATAAACTTTTTTTTGAGTCTCAGACTTCCAAGCACAAAGCTAGAGATAGCTGGGAAGAGGAAGTAAAGAGGGAGACCCTGAAAATCCCTATCCGCCCTCACTGCCCTGCCTCTTTGATCTGCCCACAGGAGCTGTGGAGGTCCAGGTTTCTGAAGACCCTGTGGTGGCCCTGGTGGGCACCAATGCCACCCTACACTGTTCCTTCTCCCTTGAGCCTGGCTTCAGCCTGGCACAGCTCAACCTCATCTGGCAGCTGACAGACACCAAACAACTGGTGCACAGCTTTGCTGAGGGCCGGGACCAGGGCAGTGCCTATGCCAACCGCACAGCACTCTTCCCTGATCTACTGGCACAGGGCAATGCATCCCTGAGGCTGCAGCACGTGCATGTAGCTGATGAGGGCAGCTATACCTGCTTTGTGAGCATCCGGGACTTTGGCAGTGCTGCTGTCAGTCTGCAGGTGGCAGGTGAGCACCGAGGGGTGCGCCCTCCTCTTTGATGCCTTATCCATTGTGCATGCAGCCTCTCACCACTGCCCCATGACAGATCCCAACACCAAAGAAAGCCCAGTGCTCGTTCCTGTACTAACAGCCCCTGTGTGTCCATTTCTTCATTGTATCTCTTGCATTGACTGTGTTGCTGACCTCAGCCCTTTGCCACCCTCCAGCCCCCTACTCGAAGCTCAACATGACCTTGGAACCCAACAAGGACCTGTGGCCAGGGGACATGGTGACCATCACATGCTCCAGCTACCAGGGCTACCCCAAGGCAGAGGTGTTCTGGCAGGATGGGCAGGGCAGGGATTGCCCTTAACTGGCAACGTGACCACATCCCAGATGGCCAACGAGCAGGGCTTGTTTGATGTGTGTAGCATGCTGAGGGTTGTGTTGGGGGCTAATGGCACCTACAGCTGCCTGGTGCGTGACCTGGTGTTGCAGCAGGATGCACACAGCTCTGTCACCATCACACCCCACAGAAGCCCCACAGGTTTTTGGTTTTTGGTCTTAAATGGCAGCCTAAGGGAGGAGGGTCTTGGTTCTCTCAGTAGGGATTGAAATTAGAGGAACTAAATGTACCTCCCATTTGCAGTCTCCCAGGGCATTGAGATACCTGATAATAGTAGGAGAAAGATGGGGCAGGGAGCCCCAGGTAGTGTGTAGGGGTCAATGATGATGAGCCTTCTTGACTCTCCTAACTTCAAGGGCTGTAGATACAGTGGGGAAGGATGGAAACACACCTTGGTCAGCAGAGAACCATGAGATAGGAGGCTGAAAGGAGTTCTGATGTGGAAAGGATTTGCTCTTCCTGGAGCCCCTGAGAATCCTACTGCCCCAAGTCCAGACTCCAGTAATAGATCTTGTCAGACAAACCCAACCTATTGTGAAAATCAGATTTTTGAGAATCTGTCTTGGGGTCTAGAGAGAGAAGGAGAAGAAGGAATGGGGCCTGGGTTTTGATGGGGGATGAGGCTGTGGAGTGGCGGGAAAGGCCCTGTCCTTCCTCACTGGCCCTGTCTCTGCAACCTGCCCCCAGGAGCTGTGGAGGTCCAGGTCCCTGAAGACCCTGTGGTGGCCCTGGTGGGCACCAATATCACCCTACACTGCTCCTCCCTGAGCCCAGCTTCAGCCTGGCACAGCTCAACTTTATCTGGCAGCTGACAGACACCAAACAACTGGTGCACAGCTTTGCCGAGGGCCGGGATCAGGGCAGTGCCTATACCAGCTGCACAGCGCTCTTCCCTGATCTGCTGGCACAGGGCAATGCATCCCTGAGGCTACAGCGCGTGCGTGTACGCATTCGTGTAGCTGATGAAGGCAGCTTCACCTGCTTTGTGAGCATCCGGGACTTTGGCAGCGCTGCTGTCAGTCTGCAGGTGGTGGGTGAGCTCCGGGAGGGAGCCTTTTCCACTCCTTATCTGTTAAGCACACAGCTTTTCACCCACTGCCCCACAGCTGATCCCAACATCAAAGCCAGGTGCTGATTCCTGTACTAACAGCCCCATGTGTCCTTTCCTTCCACTGTACCTCCTGCACTGACTGTCATTGATATCTGTTCTCTGCCACCCTCCAGCCCCTTACTCGAAGCCCAGCATGACCCTGGAGCCCAACAAGGACCTGCGTCCAGGGGACATAGTGACCATCACGTGCTCCAGCTACCAGGGCTATCCCGAGGCGGAGGTGTTCTGGCAGGATGGGCAGGGATTTCCCTTGACTGGCAATGTGACCACATCCCAGATGGCCAATGAGCAGGGCTTGTTTGATGTGCACAGCGTGCTGAGGGTGGTACTGGGTGCTAATGGCACCTACAGCTGCCTGGTGCGGAACCCAGTGTTGCAGCAAGATGCACACGGCTCTGTTACCATCACAGGTAAGGAGAGGTGGTCAGCTGGGGAAGGACTCGGGAGCAGTTACCTCTTTTATAGACCCTTAACTGGAGTATCAATATCAAAATATTCAATTCCATGTGGATTTCCTGTATCTCAAAGCTTCCCCAGTGGAAATCCTTAAAAGTCTTAATCCGATAAGATCCATTTGTAACTTTTAGTCTCCTAAGCATGCTTTCTGTGGTGATTATGGACCTGCCTGGAATCTGGAGGTGTGGGTGGAATTCTGAGGGCTGCCACAAGGCTTGTCCAGGGACATGGCGGATGAGGGCATGCTTTCCAACGGGTTCTTTGGTGTGAAGGAATTGCTGAGTCCATGGGCACCATCTGATTGTGGGGCTCTGAGAGGCAGTGGGGCTTCCCAGCTGGTAGATCTCACCTGAGTCAAGGAGCAGCCCTTCTACCTGCAGACTGGAGCTCCACAGATGGACTGGCCAGTGGTGTCTCTGCTGCCCTCATGTGGCTAGATTGAGATTTTCATATTGGGTGAGTCCCTTGATCTCTGGTTGCCAGGTCTTCAGAGTCTGGGTAAGTTGGGAATGTCAATAGGGCTCAGGCAAGGGAGACAGTCACCCTCTGTGTTTGGCTCTGACAGGTCTCTGTTCAGTCCTTTGGTAGGCCTGTGTGCTAGGTCTAGGTCCTTGGTCCCTACCTCTGAGTCTTCCCAGGGACCTCCTGCATCCTTAAGGTCAGGATAGCAAGCTCTTTGTCACTAGTCTTTGTCTTTTCTCTTACCACAGCTTCTACCTGACCCCCCAGCCCACTCAGCTTCCTACCTGCACTGGTTGCCAGTGCCTGTGCAAACCTTAGGCCTTGCCGCAGCTCACCTCTCCCACTGAACATTCTGGGCCTTACACAGCTTTCACTCCTGACAAGCCTGGAACCAGTGCCCACCTTCAGTGCCTGTCTTCTAGGGATCAGGCTCATTCTCCTCCTCTCTTAAGTATTTCCTTATCACAAGACTGTCTCCATTGCCCAGCCCTTCCCAAGACTGAACTTAGCTTCTCTCTGGAGGCCCAGTCTGTATATCCTGTGAGGGAGTCACTTTCTGGGTTTTCCAGTGTTCTGAGGTATTTCCTTGACCTTGTAGAGAGCACCACATGAGAACAATGGAAACTGTTTCACTGGGGCTGGAGAGATTGCTCAGTGGTTAGAGTGCTTACTGCTCTTTTATGAAGACTGGAGTTCACATCCCAGCACCCACATTAGACAGCTCACAAATGCCTGGTGCAAATACACACACACATAAATAAAAATAAAATGTCTTTTTTCAAAAAAAGAAACTGTGTTCACAAGAAAGACTCAGAAATGTCAAGTGAGATGGCATAGAGTATGAAGGTTTTATCAAAAGGACAAAAGGATTCATGGTCACTGCACAGAGCTGGATGGAATATTGGCGGTACTGATGCTATGTAGCCAAGGGCTTATATAGAGAGAGAACTTTTATCCCATCAGCTTCTGAGAACATTCTTTATGCCTCAGCCACGAACACTGAAAAGGGATTTCACCTGAACAAGTGTTGCCAAGCACAATTCGTAAGTGAAGAAACTGAGGCCCAGAGAGAAGGAAGTTTCTCGAGACCACAGACTCAGTGTCTCTGAAGGTTTCGAGAGACAGGCACCACTTTGAAAATAGGACAAATGATAAAGACAGTGATTTTCCCATAACTTCAAGGGTTTTCATCCTCTCTAAACTCAATCTGTGAACCTTGGTTCCTGCACTCTGCCGCAAGCAAATGAACCTGGATCTGAATCCAGCTTTGGCCTCTCAGCACAATTTTTCCTCCTCCCCTCGCCTGGCCTCCTGTTTTCATTAGAGCAGGTCTGGCCTACTTTGGAGCCCTTGGCCTGCATTTTGCTTCCAGCATCTCTGTGCCTTGTATGGCATTCTGGGATTCAGGCGCTCAGCCCTCCAGCTAGTCTCCCCCACCCCCTACCTGATGGGGGTTAGTGACAATGTATGTGCCATGCCATGTCTCTCTTTGGAGAGGGCTTTCTGAAACAGGATCTGGAGATGTGGGTCTTAGCCCCAGCTGGCTCTTTCACTTACTAGGGAAATGAAGTCTGGAGTGTTCTAGACACAGTCTACGGGTGAACACAGGGAGCCCTTCCCCTTAAATATTTCTTTTTTTAATGTTAGTATATATTAACTATATATTTAATGGTTTCATTATGACATTTCATACATGTATACAATGCATTTTTATCATGTTCACCCCCAGTACTCTCTCATGTCTCCTTCCCACTCCTGATGAACCCCTTCATCTTCCCAATTACACGCTCTTCTATTTTATTTGTTGTATGTGTTGTGTGTGTATGATGTGGGTATGTGAGTGTAGAGGTCAGAGGACAACTTTCAGGAACTGATTCTGTCTTTCTACCGTGGGTTCTGAGAATAGAATGAGTTCTGGGGAAAGAACCCAGGTCATCAGGCTTGCATTAATAAGCTCTCTTACCAGCTAGGCCATTTTGTCAACCCCCACCTCCATTTTAATATCTCTCTTTCTCTCTCTCTCCCCTCCCTCTCTCCCCAGTGAATTTCATTAGTGTTACTTATAGAGCATGGGGGAGGGGTTATTTATGGGAGCATGGTAACTTTGCCAGTGGCTACACCACTGAAGAAATGTCTTTCCTTCCCATCAACCATTTATTTACTCCCTACAGCTCCTCAGGGAGTACAAGACTGCTGAGGCCTTGGCTGGGCTTTGTCTCCAGAGAGCAGAGGGCAGCACCTCAGTCTTTCTTAGCATTTCTCCCCCTAAAGCTCTGCCCTGCACCCAAAGTAGGACTGGATCGGAGGGTGGTGCCTATGCTAGAGTCACATGTACTCAGAACAGTGGCTGGCCTTGACCCCAACTTGGGCTCCTTAACGCACTCTCTTGACATGAAGTGTCTAATGAAGGGTCTGAGGGTTACATATGAATATTCCACTGGCGAGCCCCCCAGGCCTACATGAATCCTTGAGGGACTTAGACCCTAACTCTGGTCCTCATCTGTGTTTAGAACTAGGTACATTTTCTGTAAAAGGACAGAGAATAAATGCTTTGTGGGTTGTGTACTATCTACTGCAGCTTGCTTGCCTATTTATTTATTTATTGTTTTGAGGCAGACTCTAGATGTGTTCCAGCTCAATGTGGAACTCAATTTGTAATGAGGATGATCTTGAATTTCTGACCCTTCTTCCTCCGCCTCCCCAGTATTGGGATTATAGCATGGGAAACAAGATGGTTTATGCAGTGCTGGGGATCAAACCCAGGGTTTCCTGCACCGTGGGCAAGCACTCTACTGATTGAGCTACCGCTCCAGAATACTGCTACTTCTCTATCTGCTCTTTCTCCTTTATTTTTTTCTTTTTCTTTTCTTTTTGTAGCCCTTTACAAAAATAAAAAGTAATACTAGTTCATGGACTGTCAAAACAAGGTCACAAGCCAGATTTGGCCATGGGCTGTAGCTGACTGGTTCCTGGCCCCCAGGATGGTGGTGTATGACCAGATGGGGCTGCAGCTATGAGGGGAGGCCTCCGGGGATGTGATTCTTAAGCCAGGTAGAGAATTTGGGAGCTCTAGTTTATTTGTATTTATTTATTTTTAAAGATTTATTTATTTTATGTGTATATATGTATGCATCACTTGCCCATAGAGGTCAGAAGAGGGCTTCAGATCCCCTGGAACTGGAATTACAGACAGTTGTTAGCTGCTATGTGAGTACAGGAATCCCAACCACAGTCCTCTGGAAGAGCAGCCAGTGCTCTTAACTGCTGAGCCATCTCTCCAGCTCCCAAAAGCACCTTTTTAGGAAGGGGAAATGACAGCTATAATGCAGGGACTGGAAGGAGTTGTTTTTGTAGACAATGCTGGGACAGGGTTTCCTGTGGTGACATTAGATGGAAAAGTTGAGGACAACAAGCTGGACCAACTTAAAGGGATCCTTGCATCACCCTTAGAAGATTGAAGCATTACCCTAATCTCAGTAGGGCCCCATACATGGTTCCCAAGTATTAGTCTCACTCAGACTTCTCAGCTTCCCCTGCTGCCCCCTGAAGCATGCTTCATCAGCCACAGCTGCAGCAGCAGGGTTTGGAGGGCTGAATGGAACTGTGGGCAAGGGATCTCAAATGAGCTTCATTTATCATGCCTGGGCCCAGTGAAAGTAGGAGCCCCTGTTCACGCCTTAGAACCAGATGGGATGGTCTCATTCATCCCTCTTCCTCTCCCAGGGCAGCCCATGACATTCCCCCCTGAGGCTCTGTGGGTCACTGTGGGGCTCTCTGTCTGTCTTGTGGTACTGTTGGTGGCCCTGGCCTTCGTGTGCTGGAGGAAGATCAAGCAGAGCTGCGAGGAGGAAGAAAATGCAGGTGAGTATGTGTGTATGTGAACATACATATACATACATACATACATGCATGTCTTGGGGCATATCACTGTTTCAGTCCATTTGGTATAGTCATAAGAATACCTGAGTCAGGTCATGTAAAGAACAGAAATTTACTGGCTTGTGATTCTGGAGCTGAGAGTCCCATATCCAGGCACCAGCATCCATTAAGGCCTTGATGTAGCATTACATGGTGAAAGGTAAGAGGACAAGAGAGCATAGTGCTAGTCCCACCTGTGAGGCTGGAGCTGTCCAGGGCCTAATCACCCCTTAGAAATTCTACTCTTAATACTCTTACATAGCAACTAAATTTCAGCAGGACTTTAGGAGAGGACATTTAAACATAGCAGTTGCTGTATCTGTAACATCAACTAGAGTGTCTGGTGGCAGAATGAGTGGGGTTGCATAGATGGGGCTAGCTGGAGACCCTGAGGCAGAATGTAGAATGTGGGAATCAGTGTGAGCTGGCCTGTCATTGTGCAAACATGGCAGATGGAGTGTGGATAGGAGTGTGGTGTGTCATGAAGGTGGTAATTTTATAAGGCTGAAGTGTAACAAGGGATGTGGAAATGAGTGTGGCTAAGTGTGTAAGTCATATGGGTACATCTGTGAGTGAGAGCAGGTTTAGAGTGTTTGGAGCATTCAGTGGGTTTGTGTGTCACTGGGAAGAGTGTGTGTCTGCTCTCAATGTGCAGAGCCTGCCTCATGCTGCTCACGTCCTGGATGAAGGTCAGTATGAGCTGATGCTGGTGATTGTAGGTGGGTGAGTGGACAGTGGTGGATGGCATATAGATAAACCATGAGAAGCATGGGAGCAGACAGGCAGTGGAGGTGGGGAAATGACTAAGAGGAAATATGGTCAGTTGGCTGGTAAGTGATGCCTGTGTCATGAATAGGCTGTGAACAGCTAGGTGTCTGGTAAAGGGTGGGTAGACAGACAGGTGGGGTACAGAGGGCCTGAGAAGTCAGGAAAGTGCCTGCTGTGCAAGTATGAAGAACTCAGTTTGGATCCCCAGCACCCATGTTAAAAGCCTGGCACTGTAGCTTGTAACACTTGAGGGTGGAGAGTTAGGGGGTGGAGAGGCAGAAGGATCCCTGAAGTTCATTGGCCAGCCAGTCTAGCTCAATCAGTGAGCGAAAGAAGGTGGAGAGTGACTGAGGAAGATACCTTGACATCAATGTCTGGCCTCTATATGCATGTACACACACATCACATACCCACATGAGCATGTACTTACACATCATACACACATGTACAAAAAGAAAAGACAAAGTGGGGTGCAGATGTGGGAGGGTGATGCTAACTGAATTGGGAGTGAGTGGGTCAGTGAGGTGATAGGGTGGGTTGGTGGGTGGAAGGCTAGGTAGATGATCCTTGATCAAGTGAATGGTGGGCTTCCTGAGGGCGCCCTTTCATCCTTTTCTAGGCTCGGCTCTGCTGTGGTCTTAAGCTCCAACCTTGTGTTTAGAGACCACAGATAAGGCTTTCTCAGTTACTAGGTAGAGAAGTGTAGGAATGAAAGTGAGGCTGTTTTGTTCTTCATCCAGAATTCTTATCTTTCAGGAGCTGAGGACCAGGATGGGGATGGAGAAGGATCCAAAACAGGTGAGTCTGACCCTCTTGATTGGGGGGTCACCAGAGACAGGAGACAAAACTTCAGGAGGGGCCATATTTCCTCTGGGGCTTGAACAAAGTATCCTCTGATGGAGACTCCCATCCAGAGAAACTATTCTTTGCTCATGGCTAGGTCTGAAGGAGAATCTCCTGACTCCTCTCCAGGAGTCCCTGTCTACCTTGGCACAGCCACCAGGGTCAAGGCCACCTGGTTGACTCCCTACTGTACCATCTGGGGGCTTCCCAAGGGTGGTAGCAGGGCCTCAAGAGAGAGGCAGCCTCATACACACAAAGGAAACTTCTGGCCTGTTTCCTCATACGTAAAATGAGTGTGACAAGTCCCTAGGCATTTCTGGGTTGGGTTAAATGAGATAATGTATCCAAAAGACAGTACTGTCCTTGGTGCCTGGTTAAGAGCTTACAGTGGAGTCCTTTTGTGATGAAGCAAACTACTGTTGACAGTCCTGCTCTTCTGAGAGCCTATGCAATGTTAGCAAGGTGCTTTGCTCCTCTGGACTTCCATGTCCCACCTGTAAAATGCCATCCTGGCCCCATAATGATGGCATCCCAGGGCTGTTCTGAAGCTCTCTGGAGTGCCTGGAGAAGAAGGTGCTCTGCAGGGGTGACTTGTGCTTAGATGCAGAGCCTGGCTTGGTGTGGGTGCTGAGGTCTTGGTGCCCCACAGCCCCAGGAGCATCCAGGCTGAGAGAATCAGTTATCCTGAGAACCATTTGGGGCCAGGGCCAAGTTGACACCAGCTCCCTGTCTATCCCTATAGAAGGAAGGCAGGAGACTGACACCTGGGGACTGCTTTAAATTATGCCAATTAATTCTCTGTTGGTGCCCCTGTGGCAGGCATGGAGCAGGCCTGGGATCAGGCCTTGATTCTCATGCTTAGAGGCAGATGTTGGCAGGTAGAGGGAGAATTGGTCAGCCTCTGTGCCATGTGACCTGGGCTTCTGGGGACACCTGCAGCCAAGCCAGCCTCCCTTAGTCTCACTTTACCCTCACTTATGGACTGGGCTCTGTGCACCTCCACGTCTCATCTGAGGGCAGATTCCGTAGTTGTAGGAAACAGGTTCAGAGAGGGGAGCGATGCATTGGGTGGAGCTGGGATTTGTGGACTCTTCTCCCTAGGGCCCCTTTGCTGGCACTGTGATGGTGCCCTCACCCCCCACATCTCTTCCTCCTGCCCCTTCCTTAAGCCTCCCTCAGCCTGCCACCCCCCACCCCCAATCCCCTACTTTCTACAGCTCTTCTCTCACTACATGCTCCTTCCTTTGTTTCAGCCCTGCGACCTCTGAAACACTCTGAAGGCAAAGAAGGTAGAGATATGCTGCTTGAAATTGTGTGTGTTGTTTGTGTGTCTGGGTAAGAGGCTGGGAAGGAAGTGGTCATTACTCTTTTGCAGATGACCTGTGGCTTTCTCCCCAGAAAAGCAGCTCTGCTGCCTCCTAGTGGAGGCTGAGGAACCCAGGTCCCAGCTGCTCCAGTAGGACCCAAGTGTGACATAGGCTTACCCCCATCAGGCATTTTTCTTCCTCTCCTGCATTAGTATGACCACATCTTAAAGCTGCAGGTGGCCTCCAGCCTGTATTCTGTCCTCTGTGACCTGAAGCTTCCATCCTTGGGTTCAAGGGGTTGCTGTGGCTACTATGTCCCTTCCAGAGGCAAGGAATGAGAGGGAGGGCAGGAAATATCTTTCTAGGGCTTGGCCAAAAATAGTTCCTGTCACTTTGGATATATCCCATCTGGCAGAACCTAGTCATATGACCTGTATCTCAGGTGAGGCTAGAAATAGAGCTTTCAGTTGGGCTGTCCAGGTTCCTGTGCATAGGAGATAGCTAGTCAGTGTCAGCAGTCACCATCCACCTTAGTATCACCTTAGCAGTTCTTTAGAGGAAATGAGATGTCTCCCTGTTGTTTGGAACCAGTGAGCATAAAAGAACAATGCCCTGGAAATGAGAATGTTAGGGTGATGTCTGGAGAGAGTAGCCCCAAAGGTGAAGCAGTGGGCTTCCCTGCTCTGCAGGGAGACAGCAGGTCCTCCAGTCTCTTGCCCTGCTGAGACTGCAGAGGCAGGGTGTAACAGCGGCCTTCCCCTGAAGGAAGGGAGAAAGAGGAGAAGGGTCACACGTGTCCCGGGGTTTCTTCTCAGCTACCGATGTAGATGGGGCACCAAGCAAGGCTGGGAGTGGTTTTGATGCTCTTCCACGAGGAGGCAGAGTCTGTGGGAAGGGGTTCCCTGTAGAGACATTCGGGTGGGAAGGGGCATCCTGCTGGAGGAAGCCTTTGGGCAGTAGGTTGGATGGATCAATCAGGCAGAAGGGCCAGAAGGAGGAGGTATTTGGAGAACAGGCTGACTTTCCCACCTGGCTCTTGTGTGCATACTGGCCTCCAGGGTAGCAGTGAGTACACACTCCCTACCTGGTATAGGTAACCAGAGGCCTGAACTTCTAAAATGATTCCAAGAGCAGAACTTCTAGCATCTAATGCTTTCATTTTGCTTTTCCTTTCTTCCCACCATGAGATACAGACGATGGACAAGAAATAGCCTGACCAGGAGCTGCTGCCCCTGCCAGGGGCTACATATTCTGGCTGTATTGGGCTCAGTGTGAGCGCTGCCCTCAACCATGGGTCCTGCTCCCACAGGACTACCCATTCTCCAAAGGATGCAGTACATAGGCCACCCGCAGCCTTATTTCTCTGATGGACTTAATTCCCAAGTCATCCTGCTGCCTTATTTCACCAGTGACACGATACATGAACATCCTGCTGCCTTATTTCTTCTGGACACACACACACATCACCCCACCTGGATATTCTTCCAATGTTATCAGCTGCCTTATTTCTCCAGTGACATTACACATGAACCATCCTGTGGCCTTATTTCTTGTGACTGCTACACAAACCACCCACCTCCTTACTCTTCCCAAACCACAGGGACCAGGTGGCTGCTCTTCAGACTCACCCCTGCCTTATTTCCTAGAAGACACATCACACAGTTACCTCTTTGTTGTTTCTCCTGTGCTCCATTTCTTAGCCCTTTTCCTGCCCAGTTTGGGATCCTGTCTCCTCAGCATCTCCCAAGTCTAGCATGACTCCCCTGCACCATCCTGCGCTGGCCCTGGCCTTGGTCTTCTCCCTCCCCAACTAAGTGAGACTGGGTATGCTACCCCACCACATGTACAGGTGCATAGATACCTGCAACTGCATGTGTTGGAACACGTATGGACTTCTTGGTCTCCTCTGGCTGCCCTGGGCTGTGCCCATCCTCTCCACACATGAACCATGTGCTGGTCACATAGGTTCTTGGGCACCCTGGGTGTCAGTCTTCACCCTTCTGTTTTATTACCATTAGAATCTTTGTTTCTTTTACTTTTCTAGTAAATTAATGTTCATTGAGCAAACCACAGGGGTCAGCACTGTGTTGGATGCCAGGGGTTCTGCAGGAGAAACAGAGTCCCTCCCTTTAGCTGGGAAATGGCCTTGTTCCCGACTGTACCCAGTAGTGCCCACAGCTTCCAGATACCTCACCCTCACCCCACACTACTCCATACCCATACCCTGGGGTTGCCTCAACAGCTGGAGCCTGGGGCAGGCTGGGAGGGCCTGCGGACATGAAGGAACTGCCTCTTTACCATGGTGCTATTCCGGAGCTGGGACGCACACCTGGCTTGTGTCTGGCAACCCTAGTCTCTGGCACAGCAGACCTGATGTCCTCCTGAATGAATCTCTTCCACCCCAGGACTGGAAACCATGAGGATCATTTAAACATGGGACTCTGTACTCGGGCGTATTTGGGGAAAAATAAATGCCTTTGTCTTTCAAAAGTTTCTTGCCTGTAATGTTTGTAAAATATTGGGGGTGACTCTGTGTTGAAAGGAAAGAATTCTTTTTGGGCATGTAAGGCTGAGGTAGGGCTGCCAGGGTCTCCATGGCCCTGTGGTCCCCTCCAGTTCCTGGTCTCAGGAAAGTTGCTTAACCAGAAGGCTAGACCCTTGCCAGCGGCTCCACCCACTGCTGCACATGGCACTTGATTTCTTTGTCTCAGAAGATCCAAAATCTAGGCTGGTTTTGGGCCTGGAAAGCTGGAAAGCTGGCCTGGGAAGAAATGGCCACTAGGGAAGAAGTACGTTGCACTTTCTGGCTGACCCAGTGGAATGGGGACTTTCCCTGTGACCCTGAGCAGGACACTGACTTTTTGTGAGCCTTTGAGTGACCTTCCATTTAGGAAGTCTGAGGGTAGTGAGCGTGATGGGCAAACAGATTTCCAGAGAACCAGGTTCAGGGATATGGGAACCTGCAAGTGCCCTGCATTCCTTTTCCCTGAGTGAGAGCGTCAGCACTGGGCCACTGGGCTTTTAACCCTGGCTCTGATACCAACATGACTACATCCCTTGTACCTCTGAACTTTGATGGTTTCCTTGTCAAAGAGAGGTAATGAGTCCTGTTCTAAAAAGCACATGACCATCTTTACAAACTGGAGGGTTTGGGGCTGGGGATGTAACTGAGTTGACAAGAGTGCTTGCCTAGCGTGCACAGACTCCTGGGTTTGAACCTAGCACTGTAATAAATGGGACATGGTGGCTTACACCTGTATTCTCAGTACTCAGGAGGTGGAAACAGGAAGATCAGAAGTTCGAGGTCATCCTCTGCTACATACTGAGTTTGAGACCATTCTAAGCTACACAAGACTCTCTCAAAACAACAAAAACAAAACTGGAGGGCTTATGGTAAAACTGATAGCCAGATCTGCCTTTTTTGAAGTTAGTATTTGGTGCTCTGGGAAGGTTTGGGATTCCAAAGGCTTTTACCTAAGATCTGTGCCCCCAACCTCCACTTTCCTGTGCATAGTCTCATGCCCCTGTGCACCTTGCTCTCCTCCCTGGGTCTCAGTCCCCATCCAGGTTAGGAAGACAGTACTAGAACTTGCTCCAAAGGTTTATTTTGAGGGTCAGAAAAGACTGAAGAAGACACAGGTGAACAGGCTGGACCCTTATAAGGGCTGAGGCCTGCATTTGGAGCCTCATTGTTCCTGCATAGGTGGTTTTATACAAACTGCAGTAACCCTGGGCCAGTGGTCTTCACCTGTTTTCCCATCTGTATAACTGATAACAGGTGTCTTTTCTTCCTGTCAGGCTAAGGTGAAACTCACATGACACTGCTGAGTGCTTGAAGAGAGACCCATTAGGTGTGGGACCTACCTGGAAGCTGAGGGGTGAGGAAGTTGGCCACTGAGTCCCCCGATGACAAGTGCCCTTGAGAGCAGTATTTTTAGCTGCCCTTCCTGGGCAAAGCTCCAACTCCTGCATTTTAATGGAGAAATAATTCTCACAGTGCGACAAGCTGTAGTCTGCAGGTGTCACATTCATATTAAAGAGGGGACAGAGCAAGGGTTCATTTGCCTGGTTGGAGGTGTGACTGGAATTTGCCTCCAGGACCATTTGTAACCGGGCTTGTGAAGACCAATTAGTGGGCCTGATCACTCAGGAATACTGGATTGAGAACTGGACGGGGGGGGGGGGGGGGGGGGGGGGGGGGGGGGGGGGCTCACGGAGAGGTGGTTTTGGAAGGGAGGTGTGGGGGGGGGGAGGGGGGGTTGTGATGATGTGGCTGAGGTCCCAAGTCCTCCTGCCTCTCCTTTTCCTGGCTTATTACAGAGCATCCTGCCTGCATGCAGACTTGGATATTGGCTTCTGTGGTGGGGGATGTTCCCAAAGTGGCACCTGGCCTTAGTCCAGCATGTGGCTGCTAAATGGGATGACTATACATGTGAGCCCAAGAGCTGAGACTGGCAGGTTCCAAGCTGAGCAATTTCTTAAAGATACGTTTGCAAAGTCCAAGTCACCAAGTCATTTGTGTGTGTGTTTGTATGTGTATGCATGTTCATGAGTGCACTTATATGTGGTGGAGGTCTGAGGTTGATGTTGAGTGTCTCCCTCCAGCACTATCCACCTTACATTTTGAAGCAGGGTCACACTGGGAGAGGAGAATCAGAGATTGCCGTTTCCACGCTGGGATTACAGATAGGCTGCCATACCTACACAACTTTTACATGGGTTCTGGGAATCTGAACTCTGGTCTTCATGCTTGTATAGCAAGCCCTTTGCCCACTGAGCCATATCCTCAGCCCATAAAGACCAAGTCTTAAGTTGCACCAAGTCTTAAGTTGCGAAGCCAACCTCCTCCAAGGACTCTGGAGAGAAGCGGGGTAGAGGTTGAGGTGCTGTGTGTGTGTGTGTGTGTGTGTGTGTGTGTGTGTGTGTGTGTGAAGGGAGCTGGTGGCTGGCAACGGGGCTGTTCTCACATCTCCTTTCTCCACTCAGAAGGAAGCCTTTTAATGGGTTTTCTATCCTTCCAGACTTTTTTTTTCCAGGGTGACCCATTTATAAAAAGTGATAGCATATATCTGATAAAGTTATGCAACTTATTCTGACTTTCTTTATCATTTTCCCAAGTCACTTCTTCCTCTTTACATTTTCCATTGGCATGTAATGCACATCTAGCACTTAAAAGATGCTACTACAAGGTCAAGGCCTCAGCTAGTAAAGGCACTTACTGTCAAGTCTGATGATTGGAGTTAAATTCTCAGGACCCACATGGTATAAGGAAAAAACCAATTCCCACGAGTTTCCTCTGACCTCCACACCTGTGCTGTGGCATGCACACCCTCCCTGAAAATAAATAAATCATATAATAAAAAGAAAATAAAAACTGGTGACTGGGTGTGGAGGTGCACACCTTTAATCCTAGCACTCTGGAGGCAGAGGCAATTGGATCTTTGTGAGTTTGAGACCAACCAGATCTACGTAGCTAGTTCCAGGCCAATTGGGGCTATAGGGAGACCCTGTCTCAAAAAAAAAAAAAAAAAAAAAAAAAAACTTTAAAAAACAAAACAGGGCTGGAGAGATGGCTCAGCAGTTAAGAGCACTGACTGCTCTTGCAGAAGACCTGGGTTCAATTCCCAGCACCCACATGGCAATCCCAGGGGAATCTGAAGCCCTTTTCTGACCTCTGTGGCATTGCACGACATGGGCGCACTCACATACATGCAGGCAATACACTCATACACATAAAATAAAAATAATAAATAAATAAAAAACAAAAACAAAAATCAAATGAAAAAACCCCCACAAAAGATGTTCCTCCTCTATGTGTGGGTGAATTTCATACAAGCATCTACTCATATCACTTCTCTGATCAAGACAGAACAATTTTTGAATCTGTGAAGTTCCCTAATATCCTTTCCCAGGCAACAGCCCCACCCAGAAGTAGCATCAAAGATGCTTTCACCCCAGATTATTCCACTTCTTGAACTTCCTAACTGAATCCTACAGTAATGCTATTTTGTATCTAGCTTCTAGCAAAGACTCCCTTCATTCCTTGTAATTGGGCAACTTACAGTCTCTCACAGTGGTGTTCTAAAATGCATCTTGTCAGTTTCTGTAGTTTGGATACAACTAACGTAGCCTTGTGCTCCAATTTCTACAACATGGGATCCTACAAGTGGGATTTCTAGTTACATTTTATTTAATTAGGAAAGATAGGGTCTCATGTATCCCAAACTCACCTCAAGTTCACTATGTTACTTAGGATGACCTTGAACTTCTGATCCTTTTGTCTCTACCATCCCAGTGCTGGGGTTATAGATCTCTGCCTCACCACACCCAGTTTATGAGTTATTAGGAATAGAACCCAGGGCTTAGTGCATGCTGGACAAGCACTCTATCAACTGAGCTATATCCCCAGCCCTCTAGATTTATTTGAAATCCTGACAGAGCTTTCAGCCATTTGTACTACATTTTTAGTTAGGCCTATGCAAGAATGTGTTTTAGTCAAGAACATAGGATCACTAGAAAAACATTCTATCTAGACAGAGCAAGAACAGTGCTTGGAATCCATGCTTCAACTGAGTTCTCAAAGATGCTCAGGGATGGAGATCCAATTTAGAGTGGCCAGGGGTTGTGATTGTTCATTCCTCCTACCCCTCTGGACTCTTAGTCTCTGCCTAGGATCAGTACATACTTATGAACTTTAGGTCTTCTGTAAGTGCATCTGCCTCTGGCTGAATGTGTGGATGCAGACCTTTGGTGTGAGCATGTCAGGTAGGCTGAACTCTGTGCTCAGAACTCTTGTCCATAATTAATGAAGAAGCTCATCAGTATCTTGGATGCAGATGCTTTGGGAAAGTGAAAACTACCTTGTGTCTGAGAGCACTTATAAGCTTCTATTTGGCTCCTCCATCCCCAGGTTATTATGGTGATGCTATTTCATTACCAATGAGGCAGGACCTTTTTGGAGCAGAGAAAAGTCTGCTTTCTCATGGGGCAGACATATCCCAACCCTTAGACTCCAAGTTTGTGACCTTTGCCTCCAGTCTTTCTCTAGAAACTGAGCAGAAGATATCCCCCTTTCTTACCTTCCCTTAGCTAATATGATTTTTCCATCCCCATTGCCCTCCTCTGGACATGTTTCATCACTGTTCTTTTCGGAGTGGGGCCCTGGCTTAGGTTATAATGGATCTGCTCATAATAGATCAACCTCCTTGATCCTGCAGTCTATGCTCCTAATGACACAGCTTCTGCTCCTACTTGTCCAGTGATTCTCAACCATGGCAGTACATTCAGTCAAATCACCTGGGAGGTTTTTGGTTTGGTTTTGTTCTTTTGGGTTTTGCTTTGCTTTGTTTCTAGTAATATTGGTGCCTGAGCTCCCCTCCCCAGAAGTTCTGATATAACTGGTTGACATCATTGCTGAATATTTGATGTGTGTTCCCCAGGGGCTCTACCCAG